TGATAAAACACGTACAGAAGTTCTTGGCGCATTTTCCATTATTTGTTGGACATTTTCTTTTAATTCTTCAGTCCGCTTTTTAGGTCGGCCGCTTCCTTCTTTTCTTGTTACACTGCCCGTTTCACGAAAAACATTAACACAACGCTGAACTGCACTTTGAAAAATTTTGTACTCAACAACGCCGGGAAATTGATTTTGAAATTCTATGAAACATTCCTCAATAGAATACTTCCATATTCCATCAATCTTGCGTCCATTTCTAAAGTAGGACTCTATGATAAACACTTTTTGTTCTTGAGAAAACACCATTTTAAACGCTTTTTAAAACGAAAATATTCAAATTGATAGCGGCGATATAGCGCTTTGACAGATGACGTTTAAGTTCATTTGCTATACGCTACGCCCTACGTCCAAATTTTCAGAACCAACTTGACCACGTTTTTATTTGAACGCTCGTTACTTTTTTGGCTTGCCGCGGGCTATGCTTACAGTAAATAATTTTTTTAACCATGTTCGCCATATTGGATCGAGTTTAAAGAACAAGAAACTCAATTTAAAATTTAATTTTCTATACGGTCATATTTTTTTTGTCCAGGTAATAATTTCTGCAAATTTAACATTAATCCGTGACAGAGTGCTTGGACTATAATAGCTGAAATATTATTTAGCATCAGTATATCAACCACATTATTCCTGTTGTTAAATGCTACTATGGTGGTCTAGTGGTAACGGGCTCGCTTTGGAATCCAAAGGTTCGGGGTTCGAATCTCAGACAGAGCAAGACATTTTTAATTTAAATAAAATTCGAAATCAACTTTAAATTTACCGTCAATTGCAGCCCACCTCTCTCCTTCACTCCGATCTCTATTGCGCATGCGTATAAATCTAGATATTTTGAATTTACAGCCAATTTGCCGCGATCTGATTGGTGGAGAGACGTGGTCAATTTGAATGCTACGCTCTGATTGGTCGATGGGCGTGGCCTAAAAGTGGAGGAAAGGTAAAATTCGTCAAAAATGACCAGGATGAACCTTCATAAGAAA